GCTCCTCACACCCTATTGGCATATTCATCGCCCTGATGACGGAGGCAGTATGACCTCTGAAACATTGGTTAACATCGACCAGACTACACAGCGCAATAACCCAGAAGACAGAAATCTTCAGTTTTCAAGTCGTTAAAATTATGATAAGCGAAATCACCTAAATGTATTTTTCTTAAGCAGCCTTGATAACCAGTCTCATCCAGGACTCTGCTGTCCCTGGTTGGAGTGGTTCAGAAAGTTTGAAAAATAAACAAATATATAGCTGTTTAACATGTTTGGTGTATTGTTGTATTACATTCTCAAACATAAAAAGTATTTTAATGAAGGGTGCAATTTTTTAGATGTTTATCATCAAATGTAAATTTACTAGTCACTATACTGACTGAACTATTGTGTCTCTTTTTATCATTCATTCAAAACTTAATGTGGCAGTTTTTGAAATTAAATAAATAGGTAGCATGCACATGAAGTACAAAGGAAGGCTGTTCTTAAGGGGGAAGAGGAGGGAAGCTCCAGTCGTGAAGATAGAGGTGACAGATACCTCTAAAACCCTGAACTTCTTAGAGAGGTATACTGTAAGCCTTTTTATGTTTACAGGATACGAAACATGGTCAAAGAACAACTTGAAACTTTGTTGAATAAATATTAACAACTTCCTTTGCTTTATATGAAATGAATCAGTGTAATGATACAAATATGGTGAGAATGATTTTAGCGCTGTTTGATCTTACATGTGTACTTATTAGAAAATATGGGTCTAGATAGAGTAAGTAAAGTAGTGTTTTATAGCTTAAACTGAAGAAATCTTTTTTCCTTTAGATGGATTTATGCTTCTTGGATGTTCTAACTTGACTGGGCGTTTGTGGACTGGTTCTGTGTGGTACTTTCTTGATCCTGATTCAGCTCCAAATGTAGAGAAATGTCTTACTGGCATAGAATGTGAGACTGGTGTCTCTGATGGGAAATTTCTTGAAGACAAACAGAAGGTATGTTTGAAATAAGGTTAATGTTATATTACTTATTCCAGTAAAAGCTGTCCTTCTGCATGCCATTTAAGTGCTTGGGGGTGGGGGATTATAGCTCCTTCTTCTTCTCTGGCTTTCCGGTCCGTATTCGGTCCATGGCCTCTTCAATTCGCCTCTTCCATTTGGTCCTATTGTTAGGTCCATTCTGTCTGAGGCTTTGATTGAGGTTTTGAAACATCTTCCTTTTTACAGTGCAAGGTTGTTAGCCTTGCGACCAACCCCCCACCTGGAGAACCAGGGTACCTGTCTTAGTCTAACCTCTCCCCCTCGACCAATCTGGCTAGGGAGGCCGTACCAGTAGCTATGCTACCGCCAGTATAGCTCTTGGGGTCACTGAGGTATTCTAGCCCCACCACCACAACAAGGTGCAGGTATCATTAAGTGGGGGGATTATAGCTCCTACTTATTCTTAACCTTGGCACTAGATTCGGGTTAGTGGTCAGCATCACATCATAGTTGCACTTAACCCCCGGGAAAGGACACCAGTACCCGTCAGATAGGAGGCTGGGTTGGCCCCAGAGTTGGTCTGGACGCAGAGGCCAGAGGAAAAATCTTTTGCCCATGTTGGGGATCAAACCATGGTCAACCAGTCTGTAGTCAGCCACTTTACTGACTGAGCTACCCTGGCTCCTACTTTTATATCTTGCAGACACTAAATTATTGGCCAGTATGCAAGTTGATGTTTCTTGTTTTATTTACAGATTATAATTGGTGAAGATTCTGGTTTAGTGCAAGTGTTGGGCCTGTCTGAGTCAGCAGATGAACATACGTTCCGTTTTGAATCGCTGAATTCTGTCTGTGAACATGATGATGGCATACTCTCAGTCTCTGTGTTTTCAGACAGAACGCGTGCTCTTACAGGCGGTTCGGACATGAAGTAAGTATTTCTGTGATTTGTATATGGACTTGGAAATTTGTCAGTATGTGATGGACATTACATTGAAAAATTATAAAGGCAATATTAAAGTTGTCGTTTGATGTTGAGACTCGGGGAACTAACAATGTGAATATAATCTGGTGTTAAGTTCAGGATGTGTATCTACAGGTTGTTCTAGCGGTCACTGCTTCTTGTCTTGGATATGCATTTTTATACTTTTTTTAGAATAATACTTTTTAACGAGTGAGATTGAAAAGAATTAACTTTCTTTAGCTTTGCTTCTGTGGTGTGAAAAGAAGGCATCAGATAGCTTAATGCATGTGTAAGTTTTAGTTTTGTATATGTGTGGCATGTTTGTTCTTTGACATCATAAGGAAAGTTTCTTTTCAACACTAGGTGGCAGCAAAAGACAGGGATTAACTTCCCACTTGGCCAGACTCTGGGAAAATAAGTTAACACAGATTATAACATAATTTTTTTATAGGCAATAACTTAATTGCTCATGTATTTAATAATGTACTTACCTTTGATTTAAATTATGTATTTACTAGTGTAACCGCAATAACAACTGCTACTGTTGTCATTATACGGATCTTATTTATCTGAAATGAACTGCATGTTTAATTATTGCTTCCCAGTATCAAAGTATGGAGTGTAGAGTCACTGACTTCTGAACATACGTACCGACCTGCACACCTACACCAAGTTTCCTGTGTGTGTGCACATCCTCAGGATGGCAGCAGTATCTTTGCTTCGTGTTCGCTTGATGGTATGGCTTTTATATGGGATACCCGAAATGCGAAGCCTGCTAAAGGTATGATCGTTATTTATAAAAATAGTTTTATCTGTTTGGAGACTTATAGGTATTCTTTCAATTCAAAATTATGGACTCCCTGGGGCTACACCAACAATGGCAAATTTACTGAAAATTACATTTCTGTTCTGAATAAAGCTGCACATTTAGTTTTACTTTTAGGCAACAGAACAATGGTATTAAATGAATACTGAATGATGTAGTTAAAGAGTTTTAAGTATCCTTGGTTGAGCTTTCCTGTTTGAAGCGGAGAGTTATGCCGGCGGTAGCTTAGCTACTGGTAGGTCCAACCTTGCCGGACAGGTCAATGCTTAGGGGCCAGACAAAAGGTGTCTCAAACCGCTCCATCAGTTCTGGTTGGGCGTGTGGCCGACAACCCACCCCGTAAAAATCAATTGTTGAGAAACCTCAAGGAGGCCAAGGCCTGATATGGGCTTTAGAGCCATTGGATGGATGGTTGAGCTGCAGGTTTGTTTATTGCTCTTTAGAACAGCCTGCAGTTAATCTGTGACCTCTTTATCACCTGTTTCATCACTCTGTCTATGTACAACTAGGTACACTGTTACTTTTAATTGTCCACATATGTTTCTGTTACTTTGCTTTTTAAACTTGGCCATTGTCAAGCCTTTATACAGCCATTGCTTTGTTGTTGTTGTTGTTATGGTTGTTAAAGTTGTTGCATTTGAATGTTCCATCCATCTGGTGCAGAGATAAACATCATTCCATTGATATTCTTTCCTACCCTCATTTGTCACTACCAGGTCCGTATACATCCTGGCTTTGTTGTTATATTGCTTTACTGATTTTTGTTTCATTTCACCATTCAATTGTGGTGGTATTGGAATTTACCAATTTGAGGTTTTGTGTTTAACATGATACAAGTCTCGATACAACCTGACTGGGTTTTTTTATATTGTTGTTACATTTTGGCATTCCTTCTTGTGGGATAGGGTTGAATCTCACAGGATTCTGAAGTGCATTCAGCCCAACAAACAGACATTTTGATTGTCCCACTACAAGATGTGCATCAGATGTAAATGACTACCAGGATCAATGAGGTATATAGAAAATGTGTGTGCTGCAAATGGGATTATACTGTCTGACTCTTCTTCATCAAAATATGGCAATATTGTGTGAAGAAAGTTTTCCTGAATGTCATTGCCCTGTAACAGGCTTCTGATTTTGCGTTGCAGGGCGTGGTCATATTCCCTGTATTTGCTTTGCAAAAGACAGAAGAGATGCTTGAGAATGTCAGTGACAAAGAAGAGTTACCTTGTGCCTGTTATTGAATATCATCTACCTAAAGAATGGTGAATTCATTCATACCTGTAAAGATATGGATTGAGGTCAGGGACAGGCAGCTTCATCTGTGGCTGTGCAGTCGCTGCTTGTTTAAGATTTAAAATACATTGTTTTGTTCACTTGCCATGTTTAATACCACTTTTCAAGTAAAGTAAAATCTTTGGGGTTAGATTTCAGACACTGGATGTGTTTGGTATGAATTGAGGTAGGTTGTGATTTGTTTCAGTTGCTTTGTGTGATGGATCACAGGAGTTAACAGCAGTTGCTTGGCAGATGTCAAGAAGTGATATGTTGGCTATTGGTTCAAGGTCTGGGGAGGTAATAATAGCAGATATCCGGCAGTTGAAGGAACCACTTGGGGTGTCAGACTGTTTTACTCGTCCAGTTCATCGTTTGAGATTTGCTCATCACCGGTAAGTCTGATGATAAATCCTTTTAAAACTGCAGAGATGAGCTCTGTAGAAATTACAGTAACAACTCGTGGTATACTTTCAATGAAATTAAGAGCTCTTTAAATTCAAGAAATGAATGCTGTCATTCATAAATTTCAATTGTGAAAAAAGTTAATCTTGAAATCAAGCAGTATTTAAAGAGGAGTTTCATAACTTGTATTCTTCACCCAGTTTACTTCAGTGGTAACCATTCGGTAGCAAACGATTTAAAGCTCTTTAAATAACCTGACAACAGTAAAGTGTCGTTTGTGCCTGCTCCACGAGTGGAAGGTTCCTTCTGATCTGTGTAGTAGTTCTCTGACTTGCCTTATATTGAGATTCTCTGTCACCAGGTTTAGGTCTTGAGTACAGAGTTTATTTGCTGTATTAAAATTTGAAACAAAGTTGGTTCTTTTGATAGTTGTATGAAGACAATAAAATACACAAGTTAAATGTTTTGTAAGAGAGAGAGAAATGTTCATTCTGCTGCCACACGTACGGGACGTCCAATATTTATTGCTCTGAATCGTGAGTGTTGTGTAGGTGACATTAGAGTATTGCTTATTCTTTGTTCAAGCCATGGTAATGGAAATACCATATTCCAGTGGCAGGTATGTGGACATTTTGAAAACACAACCTGCTTATGTTGGCAGTTCCCATTCTGCAGTAGTACCAGATGCCCTATGGTTTCTTGCACATCGCCTTCCAGACCATAAGACAAAATGCATGTAAAACATTGGCTTCTTGAAACAGAATAGTTCAATTTGTAGTTGGGTATTTGAGGATGCCTGCGAGGAATGTCTTGACAAGAAGGGGAACAGCTGTCTGAGGATGTGTGTAGCAACCCTGTAGCTGGCATATCTGCATTAGCACAGTAACGTTGCATCTGCAAGACAAAAGTATATTAAATTTTAGCTGTGCAAATTGTACCTGAAGTTAGTGGTTTCACTGGCATAGTGAGTGCATTAAACAATGCCATATTGCGATGAATGGTAACGTGTGAGACACTGATCCAGCTTGACATTCAGAGTACATCAGATGGCATTGAGTAAGCAAGAAGTATGGTATGGGAAAAAATTAGAAATGCATTCACAGTTTTAGTTGTAAAACCAAATGGGAAGAGACTTATGTGGATGTATGAGGATAATATTAAAAATTATTTTGTGAAGATATATACACATGTGGAATGGATTTAAGCAGTGTAAGTTGATATACATATATAATGGAACAATTTTATGTGGAATATAAATTTGATTTTAGGCCAGAATTGCTAGCAGTGTGTGCAGATGACTCCAAAGTTAAGGTGCTAGATTGTACTGCCAGGGCTCCAAATATAATGTAAGTATTTTTGCTGTTATTTTTTAATTGCAGGTAACTCAACCAGAGTAGCCATCTTTATTTGCATCATTCTTGTACAGCTAACTGTGTGAACTGTAGGTCTTGTAATTACATTTTATATATTGTGTTAATGTTCTTTTGTTCTAATCACAAAAAATGCTCTCATGTGCTATTCCTATACTAAGACATTTTTTATGTATGTGCTTAAAATATTAGGTGTCCTGATACTTTATATTAATATTTGGAAATGAGAAAAACATGTGAGAACTCTGTGAAATGGCACATCTGTGGCAGATGGCATGTTTGACTGAAACCCTTATGGCTACCACCATCAGTTGCAGGTTTTTGTAAACACATTTGTCACATTCAGCATGTATGCACAAAATGGTGACATTTCTGCAATGTGCAAACATGTAATTCTGTTTCAAACTTTGCAGTACAGCTCATAAATGCACAAAATACTCATAACAGTCGACTGAAGTAATCCTGTGACAGAGAAGACAGTTTTTATGTTCATTATGTTCTTCAGCTTGAAAGTTGTTCGTTTTGGATTTGTTTCTGAGGTCAGATGTTTAATTTAGTTTTATGAAGAAGGCTTACAGTGACTGAGAGAGGTCAGTGAACCACACATATGGCAACTGTGTCAAAGTGTAACTGTCACTTACCATTTTACATATTTTAGCTTCTATTTTATGACCATCTCATATCCTGGGCTTCAGACATTTCACTCCTGACATGTTTTGATCAGCAGAACACATTGCAAAATACATTAAATTGTTTTCTGCTTATGTGTTCTCAAAGGTATCTCCACCTTGTCAAAGGAAATTTGCTGGGTGAGGAGGTTTTTGTGCTCAAATGACCCTTAGGGCTATGACGGCCGGAGCTTCGGCTCATGGTAGGGTCACCCAAGCCGGACAGGTCTAAGGCAATGCGCCAGACTAAGAGTGATACCCTGGTCCTCAAGGTAGTGGGTTGAGCATAATGCTAACTACCTTTTACCGTAAAGAAAGCACCGTTATGAAAAAATTAACTCGGACTAGGACGGACTCTTTGGCACGACCATGGCAATTGGAACAGGATATGAGATTTGGTACATAGGAAGTTAGGAGGAGATTAAATTCTGGAAATGCTTGCTACTTCTCAGTTCAAAATATTTTGTCTTCCCGTCTGATTTCTAAGAACCTGAAAATTAAAGTATACAAAACAATAATTTTGCCTGTTGTTTTGTATGGGTGCGAAACATGGTCTGCATATGCAGATTGCATATGTTTGAGAATAGGGTGTTGAGGAAGATATTTTAGCCTGAGAGAGAAGATGATGGGGCATGGAGAAAACTGCATAATGATGAGCTTAAAAATCTGTACTCCTCCCCCAATATTGTCATGGTGATTAAGTCGAGAAGAAAGAGATGGTCAGGGCACATAGCACGTATGAACAGGACAAGAGGTGTGCATCGGGTATTGGTCAGGAAGCCTGTGGGGAAGAGACCGCTGTAGAGACCTAGACGTAGATGGGAGGATAATGTCAGGCAGGGTCTGGTGGAGGGCTTTGGTTAATTTGGTGATGAATCATCGGGTTCAGTAAGCCATGTAGTTAGCTAGTTAGTTATGTGTTTAATGAGACTTCTTTGTGTTTTTGAAAGCTACCAGCACTCCACAATAAGCCACTTTTCCCCCCCTCTTCAAAACACCAATCCACAGCCTCACTTAACTCTCCTTGCACTCCCTTCCATGCAGAATTGGTGCAACAATTCAATCTGGAGGAATAAATTGGCCAATGTTTGCTGAAATTTACCTCAAGTTAAGTAAATTTTCCCACCATGATAGAGCTTTACTGCAGTCAGATGTGGGGGCTTGGGTCTAGACCTGTTGTGAGCTGTTATGCGGTGCCTTTTGTAACATTAAGTTCTAACTTGTTTTGTGTTCATTCTTGTTGTCATGCAAGTGTGTAGCAAATAGGATGGCTATATTTATCTAAACTCAATTTAGATATCTGATGAACACAACAGAATTATACTAATGATTAAGTGTGCAATTTTTTCTTTTGCCGTAGATATGCAGATGACCACCACAGTGATTTTGTGCGTGGATTGGCATGGCACTCCAGGAAAGGAACTTTGTACTCCTGTGGATGGGACAAACAAGTTTTGGCGCATAAGCTTGTCGTTTCTCCTAACAAAATGGAGGTAAATGGGATAATTGAGGAGAAAGATCAAGAACTGAAATAAAAGTGAAGAACGTTTAGATAGGAAATAATCTGTCATTCCATGTGATAACTCAAGTGGTGTCATGGGAATGTATTTTCTGTCATAAATGTTGGGAAGTACAATTAAACTTGTGATATTTTTTTTCTTTGGTATGTTGGCTACATTTTAATGCAATTATCTGTTGTTTTTTTGTGAATGGCCGTATGCCCATTACTGTTCCCTATCTGACATGAATTTTGGCTGTCCAGTTGATCCTTTTCCTGTGATGTTACAAATGATTTATAATTTTACTGCTTATAATAGTTGGGACCACTCTGTCCCACTTCCATGAGCTCTTGGCCACTTTTTAAGGTAATGTTTTACAAAGCATTTTCTAATTCCTAAATGAATTCATGTACAGGAAAATCTCGGTTTAAGAACATTCGCTATAACAAATGTCACAATTCATTCAAAATTTCTTAAAGTCGCCAATAGATAGAAATTCCAAAAATATAGTGAACATAACTGTAAGATTTAAATTAATAAACTTTTAAAAAATGTATTTATTACAATAATTATCAGAAAATTATTATATGATAATTATACTGAACTGTTCTTGGTTAATAAAACTAATCTAGCCAGTAAAAAAACGTTGGTTTACATGCCACGCCGTGTGGCGTACGTTACGTATCATACACACCACACTTTGAGATTTACTACCATCAATGATGTCTACAACAGGGAAATTGCTTACTGTAACGTTATTTGGCATAACAAAAGGAATGCCACAAAATTTTGGTTCTATGGCCCTGAAAAGAAAAAAATGGGATATAATAAGCAGAGATGATAGCAATATCACAACAGTGCACTGGAAAGACAAGAGAGGTGTAGCTGAGGGAGGTTTATTCTGCAAATAATGCTCTGAAACCCCAAGTAGTGCAAACTATAACCTACGCTGATACAAGTGACAGGATGGGCAAGAGATCTGGTGTAACTTGCAGAACTTCAAGTGAGCAAAAAACTTTTATTTAGTTGTCATGAATTATTTTATAATACAGAAACCATATCAAGTGAAATTACCCACATGCAATTGAGGAAACAATTCGTTTGTGACCTTTTCCTTGCACTGGAAGACAGGGCAGTAAATGGAAAGGAAATTCCAAGCCCAACATCATCCCAGTTTTCCCACCTGCAGAAAAAGCACATGAAACACTAAGCGATGCGCGTACACTGTTGTGAGGCCCGTCGTGTTCGACTGTGCATTTCTGTGTGCTAAAAACCGAACCAAGCAAAACTGACCCTCAAATGGTAGACTGTATAATGCGGGGAGAAAAGTTGGTTGAACCTATTTAAATGTGCAAGTATAGCACGAACAAATAATTCTGTAGTTGTCAGGAGGAAAAGAAGCGTTTACAAAATACGTTCACATTTTTAGGTAAATAAATTACTCATTTTAGAATATATTTCAAAATATGCATCTACTAGCAGAAAATATAAATATGTGTGACAGTCCTTCAAATTAAAAGTCATGCTTGTGAAGCAACAGCTCAAGGAATTATTCCAAGCGGTAAAGTAAACTCTTCTGAACGTGTAATTTATTTCATCATTGTATGTGGGTCTTAAGAGAGATACATTCTTGCATTAAAAAAACAATACAGCATAGAGTGAGTAACTGTGGGATTTAAATTGGGCCAGCAGGGTACATGGGGATTTAAAGCCTGGTACTTTAAAGGCTAAAAGAACGTATATTGAAATTGTGTATTTGGGTACAGATTACACCTTTCCATTTTTTTAAAAAATTGTTAGTAAAAGACACCCAATGTTCTATTACTGACTAATTCTAGTTACCTAATATGGCCTCTTAGTAGGTTCAATATTTTCTATGCAAGTTTTATATAAGAGCAGGCCTATGTAAGCTATGTTCTGATTTTTGTGAGATTACTTGTTTGTCTGCGAAGAGCATTGTATTTAAACAAATTCTGTCATTTAATTTTATTTTTGTTTCTATTCTGGCTCTTCGACTTCCGATCATATCATCTGTATAAATGTTGAATAGAGTTTGAGATAAGCTGCACCCATGTTTAACTCCTTGATTTGTTTGTATTCCATGTGTAATTTGATTTCTTGTCTGTATTGCTTTTGTTTCAACATATAAGCTTTGGATTGCTTGAATCAAATGTATTGGGTAGCCTCTTTCTTGCATTATATTCCGTAAGTTGTTCCTATCTACATGGTAAAATGCTTTATCATAGTCTTTGAAGCCAGGTGTGTTTCCAGGTTGAACTCCTTTCTCTTTTCCGATATTTGTCTTCGTGCGAGAACATCGTCGATACACAATCTGCCTTGCCCAAATGCACTGTTCCAGGAATAATTTATCAGTGATAACTTTGAGTGTGTATGTCTGAATTTTACAGCATATTTTGTAACTTGTGTTGAGAAGACTGAGTCATCTGTAATTTTTGGAGAATTAGCTATCTCCATTTTTAAAATAATGATTTTTTTCCCTTTTTATCAGGGATTTTGCATCTTTGCCAGCATTCATTTAGTAAGTTCCTGAGTCTTAATTCGAGAGGTTCTCCTTTATACTTGGCTACTTCAGAGTTAATACCATCTGGATGAGTGGCTTTTCGGTTTACTCCGGTGCTAATTTTAGTTCTTTTATGGTAATTTGATCAACTTCTTCTACCTCTATCTTTTTTGTCTCTATTGTGGTCTTGTGTAGGGGGTCATGCCACAATTTTTTTATGATGCTCACATTATTTTTTTGGGTTTATTGATCTATTTGAGCAGTATCTTTTCCTTTGTTATTCATATGCGACATTGTCTTGTATGCTATTGTTTACCTTCTATGAATGTCTGTTACTGATAAATCGTTTCCCTGATTCCTTACGAGCTTTTTCTCGGAAGGTTTCTCCTTGTTCTTTGCATTTCTTTTGTTTGTTCCATTGGGTTCTATAATTATATTTTGTAGGCTATTTGTCGCTTTGTCTGTCATCTCTCTCCATATTTTTAAGCCTTTTTCATGATGTGTGTGGTCCATTCTTTTTAACTTCCGATTGTTCCAAATATTGTCATTCTTTTGAATAAATCTTGTATTCCCTCTTCCTGTAACAGATAGGCTTCGTAGACTTCTTTCAACTCTATTCTCTTCCATCTTGCCATTAATTCTACTTCATATTTTGCTAAGTAGTAAATAGATGTCGAGTACGAAGGACTGATGGGACAAGATGCGTTTCAACTGAAATCCATTTTATGAGGTGGGTGGCGGTTGACTTCATGTTTCACCACAAAATTGATTAAACAAAATTTTAACTTCACTGATGACAGATTTTCTGCATCACTACAGAAGAAGCTGGAAATATTTTGTAGGAGTCAGTTTTGATAGATTTTGGAAAACATTGAAAACTACGGTATCAAGATCAATGAAGAAGAGTTACCTATTCCTTGATACAGGCAGAAAAGTTACACAAGAGTGTGTCATGCTATAATATCAGTCTCCTTCACAGGCAGTCTGTATATTTATATAGGGAGGATGATCTTGCATATCTTTCTTTTAAATCTTATATTAAAATGTATTGAAGTGAAATGCCTACTGTACAGGCATCTAAACGCTTATATATATGAGAGAGAGAGAGAGACACAGAAGTTATTGACCATTTAGTTTAGGTGCTGAATTTTAAGAATGTGGAAGAAGAAAGAAGGCAGTAATACCCTGGCCTCAGTGCTGTAATATGTTTAAAGAATAACATTACAGAGAGCGAAGTGGGTGAGTGGCCAGTACGCGGGCTTCACGTGGATTGGCTAAGTTGCAGTGAAATGCTGAGATGTTTCTCTGCCTTACATGGTGTCTGCCACACACGGGCTTTGTGAAGAAAGCACGTCAGAGACCGTGTCATGCAGAGACCGATTCAGGCACAGACCGCGTTTGTCAGACACAGTAGTTCAGAGACAATCCGACAGAAACGGGTTCTGCCAGACATCTGGTGGGGTGAATTTTGAAGAAAAAAATTGAATTTTTTTAAAATTTTCAAAAAACCAGGAAATGCTGGAAAATGTCCAAAAGACGCACAAAACAAGAAATTTTTGAAAAATTTCAAATTCTTAACGTTTATCAAATATTTCAAAAAAATTTGGTTTTGTGGGCATTTCAGACAATTTCCAGTATTTTTTAATTTTTGGAAAAATTTTAAAAATTTGATTTTTTTTTTCAAAACTCACCCCAAGCGATGACTGCCGGACTCGGTGAATGACACCCTCTGTCTGTCAGACAATGCCTCTAGCTCACACGGTTGCTGCCAGGCTTGGTGTCTGCCTTATCCGGCCTCTACAGGACTTTTTCTCTGTTGATCGTAACCTCTGCCGGTCTCTGATTCAACCGTTCTCTGTCGATCTCGGCCGCTGCCTAAAGCTATGTCTACACTCGTGAGCTTTCGTTTTCAACTTTCAATTCAACTTACGCTTCAACATTCAATTCAACTTTCGTTTAGGGCATGCCTTTGTTGAATGTGTCAGAGGCATGCCCCTAGCTATCCACACTATGCTGCCTTATACCATGAAGACGGTTACGTAACTCGAAACATGTCATCACAAGTGGATTTGTTTAATACAAGACGCAAAGAGAAACTGCTGTGTGTTAATGGAGAGTAATATTTTGAATAAAATTAAACGTCTTTAAAATAATTAATTTCATTAGGCCTTCTTGAGCAGGAAATAACGAGGCGAAATAATTTTTCCTCCTTTGCTGCAAGCAATATTTCTCTTTATTTTTCTTTGTGGCTCCTACATCAATTCCCACATTTCTACGTTATTTTCGTAAGGAAAGTAATTAAAATTAATGTCTTCGTCGTGGTTGGAATCTACTGCAAAATATTGATTTTCCCAATTTAACATTTTCTTTACGTTTTTCCTCCATTAATTTGTCTCTGTGTTTGTAGGCGTAATCTCTTGCATTCGGTAGGTTCTCGATGACACAAGTCGACATCTCTGATCTCCAAAAATTCATGTTTGTCACCTGGTACCTGCAATTTGAAATATTAAAAGCGAAAACAAACCCTCTTTCATCATCCATCAGGTTTATCTACACTCAAGACAAGTTTTATCACATTTCACTGACACAGTTACAGAAAATATATAGCTCCACATGCGATGATGTAACTCATGAAGGAATACGTCTTCTACCATAAATAATTTATTTAATATAAATTTAATAGAAATGCAATTTGAATGTCAGTGCATTTATGTAAAGAATTTAACCATTTTCTTAAAAATATATATACTTTTTCTTTTGGGGTTCAAAAATATCAGAGATTTCGGTGTAGAATAAGTATAAAAAAATTAACTTTGTGAGTCGTAAAATGTGTTAACCTAAGAATATCCATGTCTCATGGGCTGGCTCTGTCTTTGGGTAGAATGGAAAACTGCTTGAAGCTAAGGGCACAGGCTTCCACCGAAATGTCGTTGCTTATAATTTGTTTCCAGACAAACGTAACAAAAATTCCCCCAATCGGAATTCAATGCACGATTGCCACAACATATTTCAGAACATTTCCCACGTGATCTTTCTTTCACTCATGCACATAGAACCCCGGCCATCGTGCTATTATAACGCAACACATTTTATTACATCAAAGTGGAGGGAGAGGCTATGACTATTTTAAATCGCTGTCAAATGACTTGTGTTCTGCGCTAGCTACGTTCTTTTACACTTCATTAAGCCATTACCTTCGGTCAGAATAATAAATTTAATCACACACTTTCTTTGGAGGGATAAGCGCATCTTGTTTGAAACATGCGCCCATGACAATATTTCCCTCTTTTAGTAATACATTTTCAAAAAGTTTTTTGTCCCACCAAAAGTAGTTCTGGAGAGGTTCTGCTGGACGTAAAACAGACAAAAACCAAAATGAAATGAATTTCTGTGGGATTTCTGGCTCTTGCACAAACAAGTATGAAGAAATATGTTTTCTGGGATGTTCTTGGAGCTCCTTACCAACTCCGTCAACAGATGGCACGAGACTGCATGGTCAAAAACGCCAAGAGACAGCCATTTCTAAATAAACTTCCGTAAAAAATGGGAACATGAGATGGATAGGCGTCATTAAACCTGAAACTGGCCCAACACTTTGACGAAAGCAGAAGATTATGGCGATGCTAATGTGCTGAACGCCAGAAACTTCCTGCCCAAGAGAGTGCCACTGATCAAAGAAACTTAGTCAAAGAGCTTCTTATTAATGCAGTTACAGCTTACGTCTGATTAGCATTACAAAGTCATTCGCTCTCTGCTTTGACGATTCAGCTTGACCGCAACATCGCCCTGCCTGCTTTCATTCAACCCCCTTCCTCTCACCCATTTTTCGCGCGTTGTATTCAAGGGACTGAACAAGCAGTAAGAACCTCTGAAACGTCGGTCGTTTCTACGTCACTACACCTCGCAGCAACCGCAAGATCGCGGTTATTTTGACCGGAAATGATTCACTTCCTAGTGCTTCTCGAAAGTAACAGTTTGTGATTATACAGTTCTGAACAATCAAACCAAGAAACAAACAAACCATCGATTTTCCTTGTCATTGTAACGTTTGACACTGAAGCCGGCTTTCCCGATGCTAAATCCACCGATGACAAAGATCGTGTCGTCCATCACTTCTGCGCGTAAGAAAATTGAATAGAAGTTCATGGCAGGGACCTCGGTCCACGTGTCTTCTGCAGGGTCATACTTTTCGGTACTGAGCTTGAATGATGATGAGTTTCTTCCTCCTGCACAGAAACACACTCACACATTCCGTAATAGGTTACAGAATATAAAAAAAGCTGCCAAACGAAACTTGATATTTATTACTCTGTCACCTGGCCACGAAATGTTTGGCCTTTATAGAGCCACAAGATTCATTAGTCGGTAGTTGACCTCTTCTCACATACTCTAGACCCTTAAAAACATTTTAATATTATCCTTCCTTTTAAGACTATGTATCACAAGTTTACCAATTATAACTGCCTAGATGTTTGTAATTCTCGTAACTTCAATGCCTCGCACTCCGCCTGTCTTACCCAACGGACTTTACGATCTTAAAATTTGTAATTCCGGAATCGGAACGAATGAATTAAATAAAACGAAGAAAATTCATTCCCTTTTGCAGTGTTAATATTAGCACCAGGAATGAAGTTAAGGATGAAATAGCTACAATATTATTATCGTAATTGTAACATCAGATGAGCCGGCGTAGCTCTGTCAGTATATTGACTAGCTACGAGCTGCGCGACTGGGGTTCGATCCCAGGCGGGGGCTGAGGATTTTTCCTCAAGCCTCTGTGTCCAGACCGGCTCTGGGGCCCACCCAGCCTCCTGTCCAATGGGTACCGGGGTCCTTTCCCCGGGGAGTGATGCTGACCACTCACTCCCATCTAGTGCCTAAAAGGTCAAGAAATACTTTGCTTACTTGTAGCATCAGGGAATTGCGCCTGACATCTGTTATCTGCTTCATGAAACTGCGTTCGAAAATAGCGTCCAACAAAAGACACAAGTTGCACTGTTCAAAACGGCGTTACACAAAAAAGTGACGAAAAGCAAAGACTGCGATGGGACTGCTTTAAACCATTGGCTTTTTGGGGATAACAGCACAGAAAACTGAAACTTTCTTTCTACAAGAACAAAATATTTACCTTTAAAACTGCGACTGTCTGACAAATGGGGCATACGTTATTGAGATACCATAAGAGACTATGCCTTGTTAGTTAGTTAGTGTTCTTTGTGGAGAAAGTAATCGAAACCACGAATCGGGTTTAAAATTACTGACAAACTAATTCTGTAATGACAGGAGAAATATGTTGTTCATAAAATCTCAGTCACACAAAAATAAAACCAGGAAAACATTTCACAATAGCAAGTTCTGTAATAAAGATAGAAGATCATCACTCAGAATGTCCAGAGTTCTCACCTAGGGCGTACAGACAGCCGTGGAACGCGACGCAAGAAAAATCCCTACGTCCAAAAAGCATTGGTGCAACGAACGTCCACTGGTCGGTGTCCGGGTCATACACTTCCACCGATGTTACATAATCCTTAGAAAAAGATCCATCAGGGACGTATATTTTGTCTGAAAAACAAATTAGCTATATGACACGAACTGTACACACATTTGATATATGGAGAGCACAAACATGGGGCAATCCGTACTTAAATTTGTAAATCTATTAATGTCCCCCTTCGTGTCACAGAAACTGCAAAGACAAGGCTGTCTCTGTTCATATATTTCTTTGTTTCGAATGCAGACAATCAGCGTGTCAATGGAAACGAGTTTAACTGATAAAATTTAATATAAACAGCATAAATTTCTTAAATTAATGCAAAATGGAAATAATGGTAAGTTACATCTTCTGTGAAACGAATTTTATTTAATTTGGTATCTTAGATGTACTGTACGAGCTGCCAAAATTTGCTCTACATTTATAATATAATGTGCTATTTACATGAGATTATTAAATGTCTCACAAACATATTACATCTCTATTATATGAGACCCAGTGTGATAGTTTGATGGTTGTTTGCATTCACTCCTAGTGTACACTAAAAAGGCAGAAGACGATGCACAGCGACAGCTTATAAGAGCAGATGAAACCATCACGCACTCAGAACTTCAAGCCGTTGGAGTCTGTGAAATAACGTAGCACGGATAAAAGAAAGGGATAATAAAATAATATAAGACAATGGAGTGAGGGAAACTAAGTTCAAGAGCGAAGAGGAATGCCTTGACGATGAAGGCATAAAGTTCGTCTTAAACGTCGGCAGAAGGCAAACGACAGAAATTTTCGTACTAGCCAACGTGAGAGCCTCAAATCCTGCGATTCCTTCAAACGTTCTGCGTTGTTACACGCGGACAGACTGACAGACGCCTCGCCTTCTGCACTAATTCACTAATTTCTGTTTCACGTACCATTCAGCACAGCCGCACTTACATCTCTTCGCCCTATGTTCATAGGAGCGATCCACGACCACTGATTTGTCTCGCAGTCGTATCTTTCCGCCGTACTGAGACGCAGACCATCATAGAGACCGCCCATGGCGTACACTGAACCTCGCAGAACTGCCACTATTAAACTGTGTCTGAAACGAAAAAAGTACACGTTTTTCTATGCTCATTTATCGCTGATTAAGATGCATTTCCTCCCGCAGAACGCAATTGTTCGCTCGTCATTGTTAAATCATAATTCAAATGAATTAACAACCAAATCTTATTCTTAAAAGCAACTTTGTCGCAAAAGTCCTCAAGCTATTCACACTTTGCACGATACTCCTGTATGTGAGTGGTAGAATTTTACAGCCCCTTCCCACATTTATACCTTGACTAACATAACGACTATCAACTTTTTAGGAAGGACTCTATTCCAAGGAGTTCCTGAGTTACCAAGCTGCATCTTACCTCCGGGCATTCATAGGCGCCACCTCGCGGCATGTCTTCGTAACAGCGTTGAAGCAGCGACAGGAGCTTAATATTTCCCCGCCATCCTTTCCACCGATGACGTAAATGTCGAAACCGACTACTGCCGTGCGATGGTACTTTCGCGTACTAATCAAATCGACCCCCTCCACCTGCAGGAACGACAGGTTATGGCTTTATGTTTCTTTGGGTCATTTGGTCTACTAAAGTGAAGTCGTTAAGGTGTCGACTGACTTTTAACATTTATTTACTCGTGATGTAACATTCGCGGCGAGCATGTTACATTACACCACAACTGGTGAGGCGCATCGAATGCTCGTTTTGAACGCTCGGCTCGACTGTGCTCGTGTGTGCTCCATTCATTTCATTCAATATGTCGGACATGGAGGTTGTGTTATCTTTGTTTCATTTAATATGCTACTGTTATTTAAAGAACTCGTGAATGCTCGTTACGACACCGCTCGACTGACTGACTGACTTGTAATGTAACACTCAAAGGGATTCGCGAAAAAACCGACAACACGATGGAGCGCCCGCGAGCGTGAGCGGCTCGCACCGAGCGGCTCCGTTCGCTGTCTTCACTTGTGTAATGCTCGATTTGTAACACGTTACATTACAGGCAAATGTTAACAACCACCGGAGCAGAGGTACAACCCCCAACAGAGGACCGAAATTGCTACACCGTGGTGGGTGGCCGGGCCTATCGCACTCGACACAGACCGTGAGAAACGAACTTGGAGCAATGGTGGAATTACGAGAGACAAAGGAAACAGGAAGACCCGAAAAGAAGCTCAAACTTTACCAGTGCTCTCGTCATTTACGACTGACAAATGTAAGATTTATGATCAACAGCTGACATTTCAGGTTCGTACGATGGCAAAGACAGGTTTTGGGTTTTTCGGCGCAAACCTGGAGGCAGTATGTCCACACCCACACCCCAAACAGTGTGTAAGCCTACTAATTCACGCGGCGTTACCACGCAAATGGCCAGCATCGACACTGATCAGTGCTTCGTTTATTACGTTCCTGTCTGACGCCAGGTCCATATGAACAGGATCCTTCTATCCTTTTCTCGGACTGGGACCTGTTCATATACGTTCTTGGCAGATGATCCAGAAGTGGTTTGCCATTGCCTTCTTCTGTGTGTGAATGGAGTAATTGTTCGGATGCCACGGAGGAAAACTCCGTGATGCCTAGACCACGGCCTTGCCCAACACAAGTTATAAATTCTGGCACCACCGGGAATCGAACCCGAGACCCCAGGATTACAAGGCCAGCGTTCTAACCGCTAGACCACCTCATCTTATTATTATTTAGTGTTCTGTCTGAAGACAGGTCCATTGCTCTGCCCAAAAAGATCTCTCCAGTCTTCCCTATTCTCAGCTTCTGGTTTTAATTCCTGGAACTTCATCTTCTTTCCTTGTTTCAGATCGTCGGTTAGCTGTATCAGTCTTGACAGTTGATGTAGGACGCTTAATGTAAATGGCATTTACGGAAAACTTCATATCCTTCGTTGATTCCTATTAGAACTTACATTGTACATGAAATTCAGCATTTGTGTAATTATGTATTTATTATTTGTAATTCATGTCTTTGGAGCTTCTGTTAAAAAAGTGGCTCACTGCAATGGAAATAAACGATCACGAAATAAAGAGGCAATGAGGTGCTTGTGATTAAGCTTAAATAAACAATTACTTAGCAAAAATTAGCCAAACGGGGTAAAATTATTTATTCTCGGAGACGTCATTTAACAAGGCACAGTAAAAGTAGAGATGTGTACAACTCACCACACTCCACCGGTCTGCTCGTACGTCGTACGCTTCGATCTCATCTGTAGCACTTCTTTTAGAAAGCCCACCAATAACAAACAGAATGTCCTGTGGGATTCGTGGGTAGGCAATCCTTGGTGTCACGAATTCCTTGCCTTCCTTCGTCAACATTTGCACGTCGCGTAGGAACGTGAGCGTCTCCGAGATCACGGGTTTGCACTCCTCGTTTTCCGTCACGTACGGGTGTTTTTTTACCTGTTGAACAGTTCAATGTGAACCTTATAAACTTTTAGGAAGGGATGCCATGTTCCATTGCAGAGGAGACAAGAAATTCATATATATTTTGGTTGGGAACTCGCCGAAATAGACTATGGCATATGCAGGATAATATGTTTTTTGCTTTATATAACGACGTTCGTAATAAATGCACAGGTTGTGGAGAGAAGCGAAATCAAAGTTAAATCGATCTTAGCGATATGTATTGAAATGTGTTTCAACCGAAAGTTAAGTACTTCTGTAAGGTTTTCTTTTTGAGTTACATTCAAAAATGTAAATTATTTCTCGTCTCTCCCGCTAGAGATGCTCGCTGCGATCACCACACTTTGACTAAGAGTCAAAATTACGTAGCATCGAAAGGAAATTATGACAATTAGTTGCTTCGAGTTTCAAGGGAGGCAACCTGCTGAATGTTGATGGTTGGGTTCAAGGCCCGTCAACACAGCCTAGATTATGGCCTCGATGTCTGTTAAGATCCATTGCATGTTTCGACCTTAAGTGAGCATCATCAGGTTGTTCTCCGTAAGTGTTCTAAACTAGTAGATACGAATGCTAAATTTTAAATGCAATTGAAGCAGACATTTTCATGAATCCGTGCGATTGTTTCACACGTAAGAGGTGAGTGGCTGAAATCACAGAGCATTTGACCTAGAGTATAAACATTTTTTTCTCTCGGGTTAAAGCGCTTGATGAAATGGAAGATAGAATATCATAAGTTGTATGGCTGCTTCGTGAGATGTCGGTTAAAATATTAGAATGTTAAAGCTGTCTATGAGTTTCAAGCCTCTCGTGTAATTTACTCTTGTATGGAGAATGAAGCTTTCTTACTGTACTTTTCGTTTATCTTTTGTCCCTATGTGGTCAATCAGCTGAGGATTATCACGCTGAAGTGATCTCGGGTTGACTATATACAGGCTGAGTCAGAAGTATGTTTACAAACTTCGTGTGCGTGTTCCAAGATCAAAAATAAGAAACCATGTTACTATGAACATGGGGCAGCAAATGTTTCATTTTCGAAATAATAGCCCAAAATAAGTTTCAATGAATTGACTTTATATCAAAGTGAATCCACTTTCCAGCGAAGATTTTCAATTAACGTTTGGGCAGGAATTGTTGGCGACATGCTTATTGGTCCACAAATGCTTCCATCGCGTCTAAGAGGACCTTCACATCGGTGATTCTTAAGACATTTGCCACGTCTCCTTGAAGATGTACCACTGATTACAAGAAGACAAATGTGGTTTATGCACGACAGAGCCCCAGCACACTTCTCCCATCGCGTCAGATATCATCTCAATGAACAGTAACCTCAGCGATGGATTGGGCGTGGTGGCCCAGTAGCATGGCCACCGAGGTCACCGGACCTGACTCCATTGGACTTTTGTCTGTGGGGTCCCTTGAAGTCCGTAGTTTATGCAACACCCATAAACAATGAAGACGACCTATGAGAACGTGTGCAGAAAGCATGCCAGATGATTCGAGGAATCCCTGGTGTGTACGAACGAATTCGTCAGTCTTGTGTACGTCGTGCTCGTGCATGTGTGGAGAATGGAGGAGCAACCTTTGAGCATCTGTTATAAAGAAACATCCCTGTCCTTATACTTGGCAATTAAGGCATACACTGGAAATTATTTTTGGCTATTATTTCGAAAATGAAACATTTACGACCCCATGTTCATAGGAACATTTTTTCTAGTTTTTGGTCCTGGAACACGCACACGAAGTTTGTAAACATACTTCTGACTCAGCCTGTATGTCGTCGGAGATGCGTGAAATTATTATAGCAGTTATTACACGCTTATGACAGTAGGATCTTTGGTGAAGTAGAACGCTGCAGCAGAAGACGTTATCTATCTGTTGGAGGATTTTCCTATTCAAGCTGAGTGGAAGTTTGAATGTAGTTAACGGTGGAATCCTGTAGTTGAACTGAAACACGTAATGGATCTTAATAAACTCTGAGACTGTAATCGAAGATCGGACTGTCAAACTTAGAGACGATGAATAAAAGACGATTATTAACTCCACATACATATCTGCATAAAGGGACGAATCGAATATTTATTTTGCACATACTCACATATATGTGAGCGTGTTACCAGTGGCATTCCACATGTAGTTATTGTAACCATGGAAACTAAGGGAATCTGAGGATTTCTTACGCAGCAAATTTTGCGCGGAATAAGGCATTCAAATCATTGTGTAAATTTCACGTTGTTATTTTAAGATTACCAGAATTGGAATATGGCAACAGTTTCAGTTAAAGGTCATCAGTATCAAATTTAATGAACTTCCGTTTAGACGTTCTCGAGCTGGATCTGCGGACAGACAGACGGACTTATACGTGACGAAGATTTACATTAATTAGTTACGAACACGTGTGAATATGGAATTGAAAAGGCGGGCTTCAGTTCTCATAATCATCCACGATTTCAGGGGCATACTGACCTCGTCCTCGAAAAATTTTGCGTCAAGTAGTCCCAGTCTGACGCCCTTCAAAAGGTCCGCGATATGGCCTTTCCTGTTGTCCGGGTCGTGGTTGATCCACCGGAGAATGCACTCCCACACAACTTTCTCGTCCTTCACGTTCAGTTCCTCGGTCCCGATTATCGCTTGCAGCTCCTCTGCAGGCAGTTCCAGCAGTTCTTCGCTCTGCTGAGACACTTGCACGAAGTGGCGCAGAACGAAGCGATGTGCGCGAGTCTCAAGGTCGGCGATGAAGTGAGACCTGCGACAGCGAGGGTGAGAGCCGACTCAGAATCGATCTCCTTCGAACTCTGAGATATTGAAACCCTGTAGCAGGAACTGGATTCTCAAGCATTTGCACACCACAGTATTCTGCCTCCAGTTTTTACCTTAGCCCTTTGAAGCCCGAATGAGCGAGACTGAGAGCAGACACGTGGAGAAGCAACGATGAGATACGCTCCGTTTAACCGGCGCAAAATAGAAAGATTTCGGCCCTGAAGGTTCCCAGGCAATGCCCGCTCATCCTCGTGATAAAGGTATAGGTTGAAACAAAGGCACGGTGTACGCAAATAAAGAAGGCAGTGAGATGAGAAGTGCAGAATTTAGAATTCTGGCATTAACCTTGGCGAAACGACATTGTGTTAATCCAGTGAAACCTCGTGTAACCGGACTATATGGGGGGAACCACGGGTCGGATACGCTGATAAGTCGGACGAGCGAAGGAAAGGGGAACGTGGTCATGGATATGAACAAATAATTACAGACTCAATACAGATTTTCCTCGTCGGCCGATGATACGGGGGTGTCACACGCACAAGCCGACGGCAAAAGTCACTCGTGAGCGCTGTTCGAGAGAGTCCCTGTTCTAAAATAGTGAATTTATCAGTCATTCTGTCCATCGCATGAACTGGAGGTTCTGGTGTGATTCTGCCGATGTCAGTTGATTTGCTTGCTGTGTTGTCCTGAACAACAAGGAGTAGGAGTTCAGATTCTATGGGCACCAGCTGGCTGTTTTTTGTTTCTGCCCGATAATAACCAATTCTCTAAATGTCCTGAAGTGTTCATAATAATCAGCAAAATCTGGGTGTGGGGTTAAATCAATGAAGTGTTCCGCGTGGACATCGCTTTAAACTCTCTCGCCGGTGAAAACCATTCGCAACCGATCTGTTTGAAATTCGATCGCTTAATGCGGGAATCGGATAATCGAGACTCGGTTAACAGATGTTTTGTTGTATGCAGAAAATGTGGGGCTGAATGTTGATTTTGATATTGGATGGATTATGTAAGAAGCAAGGAATTCAGCAGAGAAAGAAAGAAAGAAAGAAAGGAGAAAAGGATTTCGAGAGGAAGACAGATTTAATTATGACCCTTAAATAGGTCTCTATTCACGTTCTACATGGTGAATTTAATAATCTGCTTGTCATAATGACGATCAAAACATAAGTAGTTAAATCAGAACATTTAAATTACAGGCACATTAATAACAACCTGCCAAGACATTATAATTTGCCCAGTCCTCAGTCACAGGCTTTAATCTCCGACCCGGCATTCGGCTGTTCTCTTGAGTGAAGCTGATTCGCTCCAGCGACGAAGGCTGGCGTCACAGCAAATGACAAATGAACATCAATTACCTTGCGAAATTCATGATGCCGATACAGTTGTCGGCGCCCATCGCGTCCATGAGGAAGTCGCAGCAGAGGTCAGTAAAGCCTGGTATATACAAGTAGTCAGCCGTCAGGAGCAGCTGACGCGCGTTGTCGGAGTGGATGTCAACCTCACGAAAATAAACAAAATTCAGTATCTGGGTCATCATGTCTGAGCTGACTCCGTGGAGGAGAACATCAGTCTCCTCACTGGGGTGCAGTGTTGTCGTGAAGAGGGTCCTGAAACGTCACGAAGCAGTCGTCGATTTGGAGAAACGGCGAGAGAAAATTACAAGTCATGCTCATAAACTTCAAGTTTTTATGACTCACGTAGTCAAATAAAAGTATCCTTTCGCCAGTGTGGTGGATGAACTTTTGTTATCTGAACACTTCAAAAACTCCACGAATGTGTACTAATGGGACCAGATTAACTGCGAGAGGGTGAAGAGCGTGCGTAGGCTTAACAGAATATAACTTACAAATCGGATAGCAAGCAGCGAACATTTGTACTATAGAATGCTCAGCTCGGTTATTACAGACCCTTGAATCCTCCAAGAGATATCAGAGGATATAACAACTTTTACAGAAATTTTAAATTCAATCAGCAAATGAACACAAATATTTCAACTTACATTCCACTGATTGATCAGTTCGTAATATGAAATCTATTTGTTCTGTCAAAACATTTTCCCGACAATAAACAACTTAAAAGGAAAACCGATGTTTCTACGCGGCCTTTAAAAAGTGATCACCAACCAGCAAACAATTTCCTATTACAAATTAAGGGCTTTGCAGTGCAAGGCAAACAGAAAGATTTGATTGTAGGAAAACTGAAAGAGGGTCACAGCTTGTAACATGACGTGAGAAACGTCTGTTGGAAAA